CCCTCATCAAAGTTTTACTGGTTATTTTCTTAGCTTACTCGTCTGCCCTGAAGACAGATCTGTATAAATGATGGCATTGTCGTTACGTAATTTTCTAAATTGTCGTATGAAGTTCAGATTCTGTAAAATATGTTTATAGAATTTTTCTTTTAAATACATTTCTTCATATTCGATCAAGCAGTTCCATCTCCAGCAACGGCAATATTTTTCTCTGCTCCACAGAGTCCAGACCGGCTCTGGGACCCACCCAACCTCCTATCCAATGGGTAACTATGGGTCTTTCTACGGAAATAACTCTAGGACTTTAAGCTGAACACCCACTTCTATCTAATCTAGGTAAAGAATAGTGGAGCTATACCACCACTCCCCATATATCTTCATGGTACAGTACTTAAGTAGTCAAGCACAGGAACAAGTTTACTTTTATGTAAGTTTTGAGGTTTTCACGGCGATGACTATGAAGAAAGTCGTCTTCTGGGTTTAGGCGCCGTGTATTCNAGATGTGGAATCTTCTACTGTTGTTGTGTAATTCATTGCAGTAGTGAAACTCCACTTTTGAAATAAAATACTTCTCGCAAAGTGATGTATTTAATTATATCTCTTCCAAAAGAAGATTCGTAGGTGAGAATTGGGCTAAATCTCTAAGTCACACTTCTGATGAGAAAGAATGAGAATAGGATACAAGGAAACAGAGAATCAGGGCACAAAGTCAGAAATAGAGAGGAAAATATGAAGGAAATATATAAAATACGTATTTTGGAAAACACAATGAAGTGTCTGTTCTCATATTGATACGTATTGTGGCGTGCAGACCCGTTGCCAGGCAACAACCGCTAAGCAAACATCTAGGCAACGACCCCTAAACAGTAACAAATAATGGCGTTTTTCTGTGCCGTCCGTGTCGAGATATTATAAGCAGGACAGTTGACTGTGTGACTCAGTTGAGCTGATTTAAGTTACTTGGTTGGTGAGTGACTGAATTAATCGTTTAGCGAGTTAGAGAACTACTAAGTATTAGTCACTGTGAGCTGTTGCTGTTAGAAGCCGGTAGCTGATGCACGGGGATAGTTCAAGAAACCAGAATAGAGGGAAACGTCCGCTTTTGGAAGCCGTTATCAGACAACTTGTGAAGATACAACAGGAGGAGACTAATGTGTGTGTTCTAGTGAGGTGTAAAGTGCGCGAATTAGCGAAACGGTTATAATTACTTGTACTCACGGATCTGTAAGTGTTCTATAAATCCAGTCTCCAATTCAAAACCCACCTACAGTCACTCCATACACGTGACAGTATAATTAGTCGTCGTGGTTGTACTTATGTAGAAATATCTTACTGTCTCTTTCAATATTTCTCTCCATTTCGTGACCGTCGAAAATTTCAGTTGTTCCTCTGCAATAATGGAAACAACTGGACTAGTGATTTATAGCAAGAGGGATTTATATTTTCGAAATTTAACAGAAAAGTTTACAGGACTTTAAAAGTTTGTCATGCAATTTTTTTTTTTTTTCTTCTCCCTCCTGCTTCCTACATAGAGAATTAAGCTCAAACGAAACCATGAAGTGTGTTTTTCCACCGCAGACCTCGGATATAGATAGAAACGAATTCTAAGTGCCTAGTGAAGACCATGGATTGCCGTCATCTTCAGTAAATAACTGCATACAGCTCGCTTTCAACTTTTAATATTGCAGGCACTATAAAATACTGTCAAAAAAGGCAGCGACAAAAGGCAAAAGTTTGGACTCCATACGAATCTTGCGGTGAGAATGTGTCTAGAAGTCAGACATGGAGTTATCTTCTACAGCCTTGTACAAAATTCATGCAGCGTTTTGAGAAAACAATCGAATTTATGTGACGTTTACATATATTGTTGATTCAATCACCTCTTAATAGTGGCACGTCTTACTCGAAAATGAGAAATCTGATTTCATATCCGTTCCCGGTATTGCTCAAATTTGTCACTGATTTTCTGATCATCTCTAAATAGACATTGATACGCTAACTCAAAGACAGCTCAACCAACCAATTATTTACTTCCACATGTGTTCCTTGAAGTCAGTGTAGTGTACGTGTTAGCGATGTAAGTAGGCTGTGTAAGGTTGTGAAACTTTATCCTTCTAAGACAAGAACATAAACTGAGAACATTTGTTCAAATTGCTGATAAGAATATTTTGGCCTAAGGTAGAGGGCATAGCAGGAACCCTTAGATGGTCTTCTTGGTTGTAACGCCGTGTAATTTGGAAAGAGCCCGACGTTTAGGAGTAACCTTTCCCTTCCCTCCGCGGGGTCCAAGGGTAAGCTAAGAAATAGTCCGCTCTGCTTGCTGCTGGTTTACGATTTGGCTTACACTTCGATCCTGAAGATGGAGGCAATATGTCCATGTGAAACATCAGTTGACCTTCACCGGACTATAGGCATTATATTCCAGAAGAAAACTCTTCTAAATGCATGAATTATTAAATGTACTGTTAGGATCTCGTTAGTGTGTTTCCGAAACCATAAAACTTACGAAAGGCGACTTTTCAAGATGGTCTCAGCTCCAGTAAATTACGAGTTACGTAGTTAAAAGTAAGCATATGAGGATACCATACTGTCTGTGTGTATCCCGCCTATCAACTTTGAATGCCTGAATTAATGTTTATGAAATCTGGCATGCATATCACGGCACCTGAGCCCATCTCAACAGGATACTTCATAAATCCCTCCCACCAGTCTGTGTGTCTACATGTATATCCCACCTATTGTTGGAAGGCAGCGGTACCCGGTAAACACGTTCCTACGGCATCGAACGCAAGCAGCAATAGAAGAATTGTAGGAGTGTCGTTTTCTATGATGTCCCTGTTCTATCAAAGGAAAGTCTGTGGATCTCTATATGTATCCCTCCTATCGTTTGCTAGGCAACGGCTCTCTAAAAACGTTCCTGCGGCAAAGAAAATTGTTGGAAGCTTTGCTTTCTATGCGGTCCATTTCGTATAAAAGGAAAGTAGAAGATTAGCTCTTCCCAGATGTTCTTGTTAGTGTATATAGAATTAATATTATCGATGCAGTTTTCGGGAACAAAACTTGATTAAAGAATAAACACCAAAACCGCAAAATAAAGCAAGGAGAATATTAATAAATTTCTCTAACGAAACAAATTTCTCTTTACATCGAAAACGCTGCGTGTTTCCTGCGATGCAAGAATGGAATTTTCATTATTCAGACAAAATGCCCACTACAAAGGTTAAATCGTGATTGAAATCAACAGAGGAGTGCCTTTTGCGTTGATCGTGCGTCCGATAACCTATATAACCAACTGTAGAAATACATTTCTCACTAAACTATTTATGACAGACATTATTAATTAGCTGAAGTTCGACAGCGTGCATCACCACATCCTTCAGTTATCACATGAGATTTGTCGTAACTTCAGGAGCTAATGCTGAACGAAATATATTGTCACGTGTCTCAGTGACTGAGACGTGGATTTGGATTGGTGAATCGGTTTATTGGATCTTCTCTAGTTTGTAACTACAAATAGTTCTTACATTCTCAAATTTACCGTAATTATAACACACACGTTAGGTCTTCTGGTCACTTCTCCTGTAAGCACTCTGCACTAGTCTCTCAATTGTCTTGAGCTCTCTTGAACTCTTCACACACTCTGACTTAACTAAAATCAAAGTCACGTTGCGACTGACGGTCAGTCAGTCAATTAGTACGTCTTAGTATCGAGCCCCATCCGGGGCTCATGACCAGATATTTATTACTGTTTGACAGTTACGGTCTTGCTTTTGTGGGACGCCCTCTCTGACGAGAGGACGGGTCTGTCTTTTGTACATGTTGCTGGCCTTTGCCAGCGCAGCCTTTCTTGGGTTTGAGTCCCCTAGTACTTGCGACCATATTTTACTGTCTCAGATTTGAGACTTCCAATTTCGTCGCCTCCTACGGCACGCAGGGTCACCGTGGAAGTATTCGACCCCTCAGCCCTTTATATTATCATTTCCGGAATTATATAAAAATGAGCGTAAGAACACAAATAGAAGGAAAGAGATCAAATCTCCATGCCAGACGACAAGTTAATGATTCTGCAGTTCTTGGTAAAGTTGAACGGTCTGTAGTCAAAGAATACAGGCTGTACATCCAAGCTTACGGGGTACGTTCTGAACAATGACTTTACGATACTTTAACTATAAAATGTAAAACTTTCATGTTTTTTCAACAAAAGGCTCCTCTGAGTGAAGATACATTTCAGATTCCCACAACCTCGAAACTAACAAAGACATGGCTGATGTTAATTTCCGTTCTTAATGACTTCAGATATCACTTCTTGAAGTAATGGAAGACGCCTGAAAGGCTGCACACCGTTTATTTAGCTACACAGAAACGGCTGTAGTTAAAAATATAACATGAATTGAAGTAGGAAGTAAAATACTATTTATGATCATTTTCTTTTTTTCTTTTATGTCCCTTTAATCTTAAAAGAACATAAAATTAATGAGTTTACCTTGAAACATTATTGAGAACATAGCAAGAGGTTAATCTCATATTTCCAGATTTATTGTTTTATTATGGCTTTCGGTTTGTGTTTTACAACAATTTGAGTGCTGTGGAGCGGAAAGGGACTAAGTCCCTTGTACTGCGGCCACTTCTGGCCTATTGTACCAGCCCCAGATGATAGGTGAGGGTCATTGTGGAGCAATTAGTGGAATGAAGATTGGGAGGGGAAACCAAAGTACTCGGAGCAAACCTGCTCCAGCGCCACTTTGGCCAACACAAATCCAATTTGACCATACCCGGGATCGAACCCGGGCCGCCGCGGTGGGAAGCCAGCGACTAACCACTTGAGCTATGGCGCGGCCTTTCATATACCTACATATTTTACTGCTTCTTCACATAACCGGTTTTGTATTCCTTTGCTCTCATCTGAAGGTGATACAAGATTTTCAAGGTTGTAGCCCACTTGTTACGAGGATATAAATGTTGTGATTTCATTGCCATGAGACATAGTTGTGCGTTACCCTTTTGTCAGTGACCTGACGTGTGTAACCCTGTTACCAGTAAATTAATACGCGAGTTACTGCCATAAGTTCTTATATTGAGTGTGGTAAAACTTATTCTTCTTCTTCTTCAGAAACAGTATTAATGGACTGTGAAGTGAAAGGTGTGAAAGTCACGAGGCGCATATGAAATTTCCTCATTAATTTTACTGAAGTGAGTTGCATACAATATGCATGGGAATAATTTTAAAAATATGAGACAAAAAAATATTCTGTTGCTACATTTCGAAGGATACTGTTGTTACAGAATTTAAACGACATGCCTAGATAAACGAAATCCTGATATTTATTGTGATTAAAAAAACAGGATTTTATTGCAATTTAGCTGAAATAAATTTCAGAGTTTATTTTTCTTTTATAATACTCTCGAAACTAAATAATTTCCAATAATTGTATCATTGGCTATCACTTAATATCAAACCCAGAAGATGCTACGTTTGATGCAAAGTGAATTACTTCGTCTATTTATTATATTGAGAAAACAGTAAACGTTTCTCCACATGGTCGTGCTTTAATGCTGATGAATATATTTAATTTTTCTGGTGTGTGAATTGGTTGAGGCTGCAAAATACGATACATTGTTTTATTCGCAAGAAAGAGTGGGTTTCTAATATAACTAACCACATCGAGCTAAGTCCTTCTTCGGAAGACATCTGTCCCTCAGATACTCAAGAATTTGCCATTTTATAAAACCCAAAGATTCATTTCCGTGTTCACAAGAACGCGCTAATTATCTATATCCTGTGCCAGATGAATATAGTCCACATTCCCACCCTTCATCTTAAGATTAATTTTAATATTATCCTCCGATATATCTAGAACTTCTTAGTGGTCTTTATCCTTCTGGTTTTTCTTCCAAAATTTTGTACGCAATCCTCTCATTTCCTGTTAGTGCTGCATTTCCCGCGGATCTCATCCTCTTTGAATAAATCATTCCCTTTCCTTCTCCTAGTTATTACAGGATTCCAAACTACAACCATCCCACATTAATCGACGTTACTTCGTTCCGTGCCACCTCCGAATCATCCATGAACTTCTGGCTCTGTAGGAGTTATCTTCAGAATAATAATTGCACAGATAATACCGGGAAATACCCCGTCCTTACTTATTAGAATATCCACAAGGTCCTACCGGTTGTTCCTTTCCCGAGAGGAATGAATTATATACAACCTCATACCCAAAATTAAGAACCATTTTAATAATATTATGAATTTTTGGTTCTTACAGTTGTGACTAAGGTGAGTTCTCTTTTCTCTGATACGTCTTACAGCCAGGTGAAAATGAGTTGACATTTCGGAGGAATGTATGGCCTCCATTTTCAATGTCTAACTTTCTTACTTGGTTTAAATTTCGACTCTGAGAATGGAAGTGATATTTTCCTAAATCGTCGATTGACTCAGCGGACTGTTTGGTGTTATATCCCAAGAGAGAGAACTCAGAATTCCCTACTCACTTATATTCCAGGCCATCAAGGTGGTCAGAACTGATTATTTGTGGAGTTAAATCCAAAAACATAACGTTCGAATAAATTCAGGGAAAGTACTCAAGAAACACACAGAAACAAGAATTAAAGGAAATTCTTTGAAATTCTGAAGAATACGTTGAACGAAATTGCGCACTTAATAAAATGCAAGTAAGTAAATTAATTAATTAACTAAGACCAAAATAGTTAACATAATTAGGCTCCTTAGTTGCAAGTCGATTTTGTTTGTGACGTAAATATAATTCAGGAGCCGAGATAACTCAGTAGGTACAGCGAGGGGCTGAGGGCTGAAGGCCAGTGTTTGAGTCCTGACAGATGCAAGATTTGTCTCTTCTCCCACACAGCGCCCAGACCGTCTCTAGAGCCCACGCAACCTCCTACCCAATGGTAACTGAGGGTCATTTCCTCGGAGGAAAAGGGGCCGGGGCCTGAAGATGGTCATTCACATTCATCATATGTGGAGGGCAAAAATGTTCGAGCTGTGCACCCGTATTCCGTATTGAGGGTGGGTTTCCCCATGCACTTAGACCGGTTACTGGTCCATTGTGCGTCCCCCTTTAATTTCTACTGTCTCTATACCCTACCGGTACTGGTGCTCAGTCCCTTTCTGCCAGCGAGGTTCTAACCTCTTACTGGCAGTGGTATCTAATAGTCCCTTTCTGTCAGCGAGGTCGTCCCTCCTCTGGCAGGGGTTCCTAGTCCCTTTCTGCCAGCAAGGTTTCTACCCTCTACTTGGCAGTGGTATCTAATACTTTAGTCCCNAGACATGAGGTTCTTTTACATGCCGTAAATCTACGACACCGGACCCACGGCTTAAAGTCCCTCCCGGAGGACTTGTTTCCTGAATTTTTCCGCCCTTAAAAATTCCACGAGGAGGCCGCTAGCTGTGCCCCCACTCCCCATATTTCTTCATGGCCCAATTCTTAATTAATTAAGCACAAACACTACTTTACCTTTACCATGTATCGAATTCTTCAAATTATTCCTATAAATTTAAATATTATTTAGCAATCCAGGTAGTTAAAAACTCGCGTTCTTCAGGAATTTTAACGTCCTTTAATAAGACTGCTTCAATTGCGTCTCTTTATTATGACCAGGAGGGGTGGCCCTACCCTGCTCACCACTTATAATAACTGAGTTCCCCCCCCCCACCAAGGCCCTCTCCTACGAGAAGCTCAAACCGCTAGTCGCTGGCTTCCCAACACGGCGGCCCG